CCCCCCCCGCCCATCCTCTCTGCTTGGACGGCCTAGGCGCGGCTGTGGTGGAAGGGGAGGGGATGCTTACATGCAGTGTACTACGCGCCTCGCCTATATATTTTATTCAGTACTTTGGCCCAGGTCTAACCACGACTGCTCGCTCTTGTCAGCCTCTGTAATACTTTCCGGAGCCCTACCAGATTTTTGTTGTTGTTCTTGTTGTGGTCCGGAGGCGGAGGCCCTCGTATCGCTCCCACCCGGCGTCGTCGTTACAATTACATAGTGAAGTGTTTCCATGTCGTCGTGCCGCCCCCGACGGCGGTGGGCCCGTGGGCGTGTCACCCTGTCCCTGTCCTCCTGGCCCCGGGTCCCGATACCTGTACACACGGTGTCATTACGTCGGCGCCAGAGTGTCATCTCTACCCGGCAGCACGCCCACCAGCCGCCCCGCCTCTGAGACCAGCCGGGCCGGCCGCTTTTTTGCCCCCCGGCTAAAAATTTTTACGGTCGCCTTCGAGATGGTTAGTATAGTGTGGTCTGTCCTGCCGTACGTGGGCCCAGTCCCGCCGGGCTGGGCGTGGCGCGGCAGGGCGCGGCGGGTCTTGCACGGCGGCGGCGGCGGCGCGGCGGTGGCCCGAGGGTGCATTCCGGCCCGCATGCGCGTTGTCATTAACCGCCCTACCCCGCCCCGCCCGCCGCTGGGCTGTCACCGCGCGCGCGCTTGCAGCGGCGCTCAGCGGCCTCGATGGATGGAGATACCCGCGGCAGACCCGTACGACCAACGACCACTAAACGTCGCGTCCGTCTGGCCGGGCCGGCGTCTCCCGCGCCGAAGCGACTACTACTGCTAACATGTCGGCCGGGCCATTGTCTGTCACGTCAGGGACCCTGCAGGGCGTCCCGGCCTGGGGCGTCCATTGTTGGCGTGTCGTCGCCCTGGGCAGCGACACGCTCCGCCACCCACGTCACCGCCACCGGGTCAACCCTTTCCAACCCCGCCCCCTCCCTCCCCTATCGCCCCCTCCCCGTCAGAACATCCCCAGTCCCTGCCCCCCTCGCTCCCCGCGCTGCGGCGGCGGGCGTCATTCCGTAATGACATGTTATTAATTTCGAGCCGAGGCAATCACGTAATGCCGTGTGCCGTATGCGCACAACCCCCTCCCCTCCTATCGGTAGTTTTTCGATTATCGTCCTGTCGCCGCTGTTTGCTCTTTCGCAGGCGAGTGAAAAGAGTGGGAGGAGGGGAAGGGAGGGGGCACAGCGAACACGATGGTTGGGTAAAGACGTACGAATTACCTCATTATATCGGTAAAATGTTAACAATTCTTGATCAGAAAGAGACGGTCTTAAATGGTCGCGCCCTCCGGGGGTGGAGAGTGCAAGGGTAATGTGAAAGCGCCAGAGGCTACTGAAATTTTTATAGGGGCGTAAAGCAGGACCAGCGCGCTGTTCTCTTAGAGCCTAATTCCAGCGCAGGTGCCTGTCCCGGGGGAGGGGGAAGGGTGATAAAAAGACATAAAGAAAATCCAAGTGTTGCTGCCGCCCCCCTGCCCGGACCCGAGGGGACCGCAAGGCGGCGGGGACTCGTTCCACCCCGCTTCTAACGACCTCTGCTACAACGGCTCTCTAACGATTCTTTCTCTCTGTGCTTGCAGGAGGCCAATGGCGCGTCCCTGGACCGCTTCAACATCTGCAGCCCCGAGGAGGAGCCCCTGGTGCTGCAGCAGTTCCTGCGCTTCGGCGAGACCCGGGCGCTGACCGAGCAACTGCTGCGCGGCGCCGCCCCCGGAGCCGCGGCCGCCATGCCGCCCGCCCCCAGCAAGGAGGCGCACGAGAGGCTGTCAGCGCCTTCGGAGCCTGCCAAGCAGACCACGCCGCTGCACTCGCCGCACCAGCGTGACGTACCCGCCACCACCGCCCCCGCCCCTGCGCCCTCACGGCAGTCACCTCGGCCCCCCAGCACGGAGGGCCACCGGGACGGCAGGGACAGTCGGGAGGACGACAAAAGGATGGCGCACGCGCTCAACTTCAGCCTGAGCAGCTCTGCGGCCAGCCGGTCCGCGCCGTCAGGCGGTTCTGTCTCACCTCAGCAGAAGCACACCCCCTCCGGGCCCGGCTCCGTGGGTCGCCAGTCACCGCCGTCCGCTCAGGCCCCCCACACCCCCCACGGCGCCCTCAGCTTCCTGAACCGCGGAGCGCAGCCCCAGCCCCAGTCACCGCCGGGTAGTTCGCCCCTCAACCGTCTACAGAACATGCAGCCCTTCGACTTCCGCAAGATGGCGGCCAGCGCTGTGCGCGCCAGCCCCGAGCCCCCCGCGGGCCCCGGCGGCGTCCCCGGCCTGCTCAACCTGAGGCCTCCGCCGCCCCCGCCCGTGCCCGCGTCCAGCATGAGCGCGCTGCCCCTAGCGTTCAGCCACTCCGCGCTGGGCTCGGTGCCGCTTACGGCTGCCAACCTGGTGGCCTCCTCCTTCCCGGGGCTCATCTCCTCGGCCATGGCAGGCCACCCGGGCCACCCCGGCGCTGCCGGACACCCCGCCCACCCGGGCAGCAAGTCGCCGAGCACGGACCTCAACTCGAGAGCAGGCAGCTCCGACTTCGGCTCGGGCTCTGACGACGAGGACGACAACTCTGGCTCGGCGTTGAACCTGAGCAGAGACGCCCGCGACAGCAGGGAGAGGGAAAGGGATAGGGACGATAAGATGAGGTCCAAGAGGCCAGCCGCCTCCCCTCCCCCGCAGCAGCGCTCCTCCAAGCAGCCCCTGTCATCGTTCTCACCTCTAAAGCGACAATCGGCGTGGCCGTCCTCGCCGCTCCCTGCCAACCTGGGCACTGCGCTGATCAACCCCACCACGGGCAAGAAGCGAGTCCAGTGCAATGTGTGCCTCAAGACCTTCTGCGACAAGGGTGCGCTCAAGATCCACTTCTCGGCCGTGCACCTACGCGAGATGCACCGCTGCACCGTGGAGGGCTGCTCTATGATGTTCTCGTCGAGGAGGTCGCGCAACCGACACTCGGCCAACCCTAACCCAAAGCTGCACTCGCCGCACCTGCGACGCAAGATCTCCCCTCACGACGGGCGCTCCTCCCAGGCGCACCCCATCCTGCTGCCGCCCCACCAGGCCAGCCTGGGCGCCCTCAACCCCCTGTCCTTCGGCGCCTTCCCCCTGCTGCCCCACGACCCGCGCGACCACCGCGACCACAGGCAGGCTGCCATGGCTGCTGCCGCGGCCGCCGCGGGTGGCGCGTCCGCCCTCGACCTCAACCTCAAGAACAGTCTCAGCCTGAGCTTGCGGTACGAGCGAGACCAACGAGAGCGAGAAAGGCAACGCGACGTCAACATGACCTCCCTCAGCATGGACGAGGATGACGAAGACGACGAGGAAGGCATCGTCGTGGTGGGTGGAGCCGATGATGACGACGACGTGCCCGAAGACCTTCACCAGGCCAAGCGGCCAAAGTTCTCTGTGTCGGACGACGGCGATGACAATAGCAATTCAGACGACGACTCCCAGACGGCGCTCGACCTCGGTACTTCCACCTCCTCGGTTACGACCAATGGTGTGGACCACCATGGCCTCCACGGCGCCCATGGTGACCAGGGCGGTCGCAGCGGCAGGAAGCGCAAATCGCAGAACCCGACCAGGTGCACTCAGCCGCCGGTCAGCATGGACGACATGTCGAACTACGATGACTCGTCGAGTGACGGTGGCCACCAGCCGTACCCTGGTATGGAGGCCGCTGGCGCGGCGCAAGAGGCCGGGCTGGACCTGGCCGTGCGGCGGAGAGTCGACCAGGACCACCAGGAGACCGAGGAGCGTCAGGCCCGCGAGCAGGACTCGGTGCAGCCGCCCCACGAGGAAGGAAGCAGCCAGGACGACCAGGTTTTTCGGCTTACCAAAGAGCAAAAGGGGGAGAGTATAGAACCGCCAACTGAAGATCGGGAAAGCACCAGCGCCGCCGGCGGCGCCGAGCACCGCAAGGGCGCGGAGAAGGACGAGGAGAAGGACTCTGTGATAACAACCTCTGAGGCGGCGGACCCAAACGGGATGCCGTCCTCACCGTGCGCGGGATCGCCGCCCAGTAGCCCGGCGGCGTCCCCGGCCTCGTCCCAGGGGGACGGGTCCCACGATGAGGACGGCTATTACTACCCCGACGGCTATTTCACCAACGTCGACTTTGCGGACGTGCCACTGGACAAGGACAACCCCCGTCGGTGCACGGCCTGTGGTAAAGTCTTCCAAAACCACTTTGGCGTCAAGACCCACTTCCAGAACGTGCACCTCAAGCTCATGCACAAGTGCACCGTGGACGGTTGTAACGCAGCTTTCCCGTCCAAGCGCAGCCGGGACAGGCACAGCGCTAACCTCAACCTGCACCGCAAGCTGCTGTCCACCTCCTCATCCCCGACGCAAGGAGACAAGCCGAGCCACCCGGGCCCTCTCTTCCTGCCTCATCCGGACCTCCTGGCGCGACTGTACGCGGACCCCAACGTTGTCCGGAGCATGGACTCTCAGCACCCCATGCTCATGCCCCCCTTCGGCTACCCCCCGATGGCTTACACGCTCAACGGCCACGTTGGCCGCGCCGGCTCGACGTCGCCAACCTCACCCCGTAGCCTCGACGAGGAGCTGATGGGACGGCCAGGGAGGCCGCCGAAGATGATCCAGGACCCGTTCCTGGGCGCGAGAAGTCGCAGTGACCCTGGTGGGCTTGCGGTACAACCTGGCCCGCTACCTCTCTCTGGGCCCGGCCTCGGACTCCTCGCTCAACGGCGAGCCTCCGCCTCGGACTCGTGACCCTGGCCTGGCCACGGTCCCGGCCACGGTCTTGGCTCGCTCGGCCCCGGCCTGCCGCCGCCCTATTGGTGGTAGCGTGATCTCAAATTATGGCCGGCGGCCGCCACCCCAGTGCAATAACAGTCTTATCAAAAGATGAAATACTCCTTCTAGCCTATTTGTCGGTATTTTAAGTATGTATATTGCTGTGCTATTTGCCTCATTGAGGCACTTGTTAAGCCAAATGTCGTGATGTGAGACATATGTGATCACCCTTACCCTGTACCACACCTCTGTATACGAGTGTAGTCTAGCAGGTACCTTTTCAAACTAGCCAAATCAAATCTCATTGATCTTTTTAATTTGTTTGTAAGCTTGCTGTGAGTTCGCGCGTTTCCTTATTGTCTTGTATATTGTGCAAATATGGCTCATTTTTTTGAGCGTTTAGTAGAGTTCAATTTGTAATTATATATTGAGTCCTCAAGGTATGAGTCAATTTCTTTCTTTTGCCTTATGAAATGCATCACGTTTAGCGTCTTATTGTGTCCATTCTGTGTAAGTGATACGTTTTGTTGACAATACTCATGGAGTAGCGCTTATTGTTTAATATTTATTAGTGTCCAATGGGGTCACGTGTTTTACCTTTTCCTTCTTATGAAGGACCTCTCATACGAAGTTAAATGTGATGTTTGCCAGTCCGGGTAGCGGCATTGTGTGTAAATACTCCTATTGTGAATTTAGTAAATAAACTTATAGTTCCATAAATTGTTAAAAGTATTCAAAATTATGTGCAGTGGCATGAGGCGGCTTGCTTAGGTCCATTTAATATTCTATTAAGCGAGTGACA